GTTTCCGGGAAACTTCTGCCGCGGCCGCGACGGGCGGCGCCTTCTCCTCTGGCGCCCGCGCGAGCGGCCGGCGCCAGCCGACAGGGGGCGAGTTTCCCGCGCGTCCTGGGAAGGCTCCGCTCGGTTGCCAGCCCGCGGGGAGAAACGTCCCGGGACGGCCAGGAGCTTCACCTTGGGGAGGGGGCCTGGGCACAGGCCCGAGAGGAGTGAGCAAGGTCACGCCGCGTCGGAGATGGGCCCGGGCGGAAGGGAGTGGCGGGCGCGAGGCTACAGGCTCCCCCAGGGTCGTGTCCGGAGACCTTCCTGGAGCCTCGAGACGAGACTGCCCGGTAGTGCAGGCACCGCTGTCACCACGCCTGGACCTGATTCTGAGCCCCTCGCTCTCCTCACGCCCTAGGGCCCTGTACGAGGGCAGGCTGCCAGACCCGTCTCCGACAGGAAGGCCTTCTGTTTGCAGAAGGACCCGCCCCCACCCAGTCCAGAAGCACGGGAGGGAGGGAGGCGGAGAAGTTCCAGTTTGGCGCTAAATCTGGCAGAGTAACCAAAGCAAGGACTTTTTGGGCTTAGTGCCCAGACCTAAGGCCCCTGGGCTGTTGTGTGAGCTAGCCTGGGGCTGGGGGCTGAGTCCTGGGGTTCATTAGGCAGAAGAAACTGACAGGCTGAAGAGCCCACCTCTCTGGAGGTTTTGTACGTCTGTTAGTGTCTCCAGGCCTGGATTAAAAGGCCCAGGGACGTCTCTCTTCCCCCCCCCCCCCCCCCCCCGTCTGTCTCCCTCCCTCTCTCTTTTTGAGTAGCTTCCAGTCTGACCCTCCTCTTAGGCTGGCTTCCCACCCCCTAATGTGTCAGCCAGGACAGCTCTGATTTATGCCTATCAATCCAGTGAAATTATTAATAAAGCTTCCCTTTACTTTCAAAAGTATCCTTTTTTTTTTTTTTTTTTTTCAGTTGGAATCTCACTCTGTCGCCCAGACTGGAGTGCAGTGGCCGCTCCCAGCCACTGCAGCCTCGACCTGCTGGGCTCCGGCGATCCTTCCGCCTCAGCCTTCCGAGTAGCTGGAATTACAGGCGAGTGCCACCATGCCCGGCTAATTTTTTGATTTATTGTAGAGATGAGGTCTCGCCTGCCCAGGTGGGTCTCGAACCCGCGGGCTCAGGCAATCCACTCACCTCAGCCTCGAAGGTATCCTTCTTTGAATGACATTATTGTCATTATCTTTCTTAGCTTGTGTTTCATCCCCTCACCACACCCCCAAATAATAAACAAAGCCTAAGACAAGAACTTATGTAAGGTAGTTATTTTGAGTGGTGATCTCATAAAACAGAAGTGAGGGACTAGAGAGGAGAGTGAACAGGGAAGGAGGTAAAGCCAATATAAAGCTGTGAAATTGAGCTTGTCATTGCCAGTGACCAGGAGAGGTAACAGTATTGTGTGGAGCCCTATCGGAGCCTGGGAATAAAAGAAAAATTGGCAATACCGATCCTGCCTTTATTTAAAGTATTGATATTGTGTTCATTATGGTTTGTTGCATTAATTTTGATTTTCAAAAATTGTATCTTTTTTTTTTAGTTAGTGTCTCACTCTGTCACCCAGGCTGGAGTGTAGTGGTGCACTCACGGCCATTGCAGGCTCAACCTGCTGGGCTCAGGTGATCCTTCTGCCTCAGCCTACCAAGTAGCTGGAACTACAGGCATGTGCTACCACGCTTGGTTTATTTATTTATTTATTTGTCTTAGAGATTAGGTATTACCAAGTTTCCCAGGCTAGTCTTGAACTCCTGAGCTCAGGCAGTCCTCTTGCCTAGGCCTCCCAAAGTGCTGGAGTTATAGGTTTGAGCCACCTTACCTATATTATTTATCTTGATTAATTAATTTCTTGGTGCCCCTTAAATTTTGCGTCAGAGGCAAGTGTCTCGCTCTTTTCACTTGCCTCATCCTTGTCTCAGTCCTCTTTATCACTGGGCTCAATCCCACTGTGGCTATCTAAAGAACCATATAAGAGGGGGGACCCCCAAAAAACCAGATTTATCTTTTGGAGGGTGGGCCCCCTGTAGTACAGGCTTCCCCTGCTAGGTAAGTGTTCTGGGAAGCCATCAGCTTCAGTGTACCTTCTAGTGTTGTGAGAGGCTGCATTCGGCTTCAGTGAATTTTTTTTTTTTGGAGATTGTTTCAATGCGTTTGTCCATTTCATGATGAGTGATTTCTGAGTGCACCTGCCCACACTGAACTGAGTGTTCAGCAGTTTCTGACCCAAAATGGCATGACCCCTGTCCTCCACCTTCCCTATTCACCTGATTTCGCCCTGAGCAACTTTTTTTTTTTTGTTTCCCCGGATGAAAAAAGTCCTCAAAGGGGAATGTTTTGCTGCTGTGGAAGAGATGAAACAAAACATGGCAGAAGCACTAAAAGGCATCAGAATGGACAAGTTCACGAACTGTTTTAAGCAGCAGCAAAAGCGTCTCCATAGGTGTATTGCACCAAATGGAGAGTACTTTGAAGGTGACTTAAGTTTAGACATGTAAGAATAAATACACAATTTAAAAAAATACATTCCAGGTTTTGGGGGGGCCTCCTTTGTAGAATGAGGAAGTATTTATTTCCTAATTCTTCCTCCATTGGTCAGCTCCCTTGTACTTCCGTGTTGCACATAAGTGAGAGTTGAATAGGTACCACTCAACTGAACTATTTGCCTTTGCTCACAAGTGTGTGTAAATCCATACCTGGATTTTGCCCTCCATGTAAAATGAATGAACAAGAGTACTGCTTACACCTTAGCCTGTTGGAAGGATTTCCCTTTATTATTCTTGAGGGTCACTCCCTAAGTGGAGCTACATTGCAGTAACAGTTCATTTTTTAAAGGAATTTTAAAATTTATTTTATGCTTTCTATTTTTACCTATTTAAGGGGGACAAATGCGGGTTTCTTGCATGCATATTTCGTGTTGTGGTGAAGTCTGGGTTTATAGTGAACCCGCCATCCAAACAGTGTATCCAGTAGGTAATTTTTCAGCTCTCACACCCCTTCCACCCTTTCATCCTATATAGTCTCCAGTGTCCATCATTTCACTCTGTATGTCCATGTGTACTCATTGTTTAGTCCTCAATAATCCATTTTTGGGGCTCCTATCAACAAATAAAGCTAACTCATCTGTAAGTCAGGACTCTGAGTGTTTTTTTCCCCCTCCATCAGTTGCTTATTGAGAACTGTTCCATGAGACCAAAGACTTGAGCTAAGGGAGAAGGGTTGGTATGGCTGAGGAAGGTGTCACAGAAGTTTGAACCACCTGTTATTGACTTACATGCACCCTATTGACCTGCTTAGTCCTGATCCTGAATCTACCATTTCTACTATATGATGAATTGCTGATGAGTCAACTAATCATATGACTTGATAGAATCTGACAATACTCAGCTTCTACTGGACATCTCTAGTTGCATAGACCCTTGATGTCCCATTGTCAGGCTCTCAATTTTTACAAGGTCAAACAGCTGTTTTTTAAAAGTCAACTAACTCTCTGTTGCAGGGGCATGGCGTTGATCCAGAACTCTAGAGATTTTCACTGAAACTCTTTTACTGGGGCTCATCAGAGACTCTACCTACCAGGCTTTTCCACTATGAACATCTTTAGCACCATGGAATCTGCTGGATTATATGAACCAAATGGTAGAGAAGTTTGTATAGTTGGACACACTGTAGAGCTCTGTCTTGCCCTAGGCTTTACTTTAAATTCAGAGCCTTCCAAGGCACCCAATAGATGGGTTAGAGCAGTAATCCACCAAGCACTATGCCTTACTTTTGGAGGGTACAGAACACAACTTGCTTTTACTTAATAAGGCATAACCTGGTATGCTCCAGAATACTGGATCCCAGATAACCTCACCAGTTTTTTTTCAAAATAATATGGGATGGAAGAAGTGAACAGGATGTAGATGAAATAAGATTGGCTGTGATAGTGGTTCTCGGGGTTCATTTTCCTACTTTTATATCCATTTAACTTATTCTAGAACAAAAAGGTAAGAAAAAACTTGAACAAAATGTAAAGTTCTGAATCTTCATACTTTTATCGCCCATCTTCTCGCACACATATGTCCTTTACTAGGACATCTAGAATGTGCGTTTATTCTTGTTCACTGGGTCAAGTTAACATTGTCATCAATATAGTGGACTACCACAATGTGCTATGGAGTATCAAGACAATCAATGTTACTAAATACTTTGTTGTGACAGAGAGAAGGAAAATTAGCATAGCTCAGGAAAGAGAATGCATATATAACCCTGTTATTCCCACATAAAAGCAAACAGACTTTGATCCTACTTGCTGA